TTTTTTTTTTTTTTACAATGGAGTGGCAGACATTGCATTTGAAAAAATTTAGGAGATAACTGGAAACCTAGGATTTTTTTTCCTCCCCTGAAAGAATTTACTTCTTCTTCTTCTTTTTTTTTTTTTTTTGAGACAGGGTCACACTATATTGCCCAGGCTGGAGCGCAGTGGCACAATCATAGTCCACTGTAGCCTCAAACTCCTGGGCTCAAGCAATCTTCCTGCCTCAGCCTCCCGAGTAGCTATAGGACTTTAGGTGTCACCACCACACCTGGCTAATTTTTTTTATTTTTTGTAGAGACAGGGCCTCACTATGTTGCCCAGGCTTGTCTTGAATTCCTGGTCTCAAGTGATCCTCCCACCTCAGCCTCCCAAAGAATTGGGATTATAAGCGTGAGCCACCATGCACAGCAGAGAAAGAATTTACTTTTGCTTCTGGCAGGCAGCTAAGACTGGGCACGAGCAATCCCAGATCATCTTAATCTAATTGGTAATTAAGATGACTGGAATTTGGGCTCCAATTCTTTGGAGGGCTGATCGCTATCTAGGGTGACTTCTGGATTCCAAGTGAAATCCTGGGGTATCTACCAGGCTACCTTTCCTGGTCAAATCCTGAATTCCACTTTCTGTCCCCCTATCCCTATGAATCTGTTCAAAGTTTTGCTTGGGTTTTCACTGAACCTACAATAAAATGTGATCTTTAGTTAGCATGGTCCAATGGAAAAGTCTTTAAAAACAAGAACTCTAAAAGACTTAGCGTCTAGTCCTAGCTATTATCTTATTATTATTGTCACTTAAGCACTTATGTGATTATATTCTTATTTGTTAAATGATAAAATTTCTACAATCTGCTTTAACAAAATGTTTGAGCCACAAATTATGTAGTAGCTAAAAGTCAAATACTATTCCAAAGTATTAATACCAAGATATTAATATAACCTACAGTTGTTTAACCAAATTAAGCAACAAGAACACCCTGATATAATATAGATTAGTGAGGATTTTAACAGTACAGATCAGACACAGAGTTTTTATATTATAAAAAACTAATAAATAAAAAACATTTTCAATATTTCTGAAATCTTATAATCACCAAATAAATATTTGGACATACTTTTACATCCCATTTTTTTGAAAAGGCTCCTCAAGTCGGGATCTTTAGCTTGTGATTGTACTCCACACACAAATATTTTTGAGGTATTATCATTTGTTAAGGTTGACATATGGGCAACTGTGTACCACGAGCCTGTATTGACCATTAAGATGTCATCATCCATATTTAATAAAGCCTTTACGGAGTGGACAGCGAGACTTCGAGATTTGTCCTACAAGATAACATTATGATTAGAATTTCAAAGGGTATGATTAGAAAAATCAGCTAACTTCTTTTTGCTTTACATAAAAGAAAGTACTTGGTAGGAATCTTAAAGAGATACCTAATCTATTTTAGTTTAAAACATCGTAATATATGTCTAAATAAAAAGTTAACAAAGACAACTGATACATTTAAAACAAAAAGCTTAACTTTGTTTGGCCTAAATGATGACTATAAGCATTTAATTTTTGTATAGTGATAAGACAATGCCAAAGTTTCCAAAATATGATTAATAGATTAGTGATGTCCTGTCTTAGCTCCCATTCTGACCCTTTCACAAAAGCCCACACAGCTGCCACTGCCATTTTTTCTTCCCCATCACGCTGCCACCTAAATTGCTACTAGCCCAGAGATTGAAATTAAGATGTTTGAGAAGCTTATAAAAGGGGGCTTGACAGATTGGGCTTCTGCAGTTGATCTCAGTGCTTGATGGGGTAAGAGATTCTACCCAAGAATACGGGTGTGGAGAAAGGAAAAACCTTGGAAGACCAAAGTGGATCTGAAGTGAGAACTGGAATCTAAGGATGTAAAAATAAGTTTAATCTAATTTTTTGGAGTTTTTATTTTGATTCTGTTGAAACCACATTATATCTTACATTCTCTTCCTATATTGATAGCCCTTATACATCTCTTACAAATCAAAGCTATAAGACTATATTAAAGATATTATTTTAAAAAGTATTAAACATTTCGTTTTCATATGCAAGATGGCACTAGTATCTTCCCAAGAAATAGAAGGAAGAAAAGGTTTCATTGTACTTTCTCTTGAATCCTCTCCTAGGAGAAAAAAATATAGTCTTTCATTTGTTGGCAATACAAATCTCCCCATCTATGGAATCTGGGAGAATATGTTCTTTATAACTTCACAGGAGACAAAGATGCCAAGGTAAAATAGGAGCAGTGAGAGTAGAAGTATTAATTTTATTGAAGGTGAAAATCAGGCCTTATAAACCTCCCTGATAATCCATAAAAAATGTAAACAGTGTTAGCTTTTATTTTTAAGCAGAGGCATTCTTTGGCTAAGTTGGATTATTAAGAATAACAATGAAAGTAAATATTAGTTTACCTGAAAAATAAGTTTATAATCTTTGAAAAGATTTATTTTTATAAGATCATTTTTAAGATGAGATGGGAAAATTAAAACATCATAGCAATGTTGGTCCACAGCAAAGACTTTATCATCAATATGCAATACAGATTTGACTTCATTATAGCCTCTTTTCTTCAAACTATTATAAACTTCTTCAGGGCTGTAAATATACAACATTAGCTTATAATTACAAATATAATAATTAAAAATGTATTTAATACTAACACCTTTTTCCTGCAACAAATAAAAATATCACTGCATATATTATTAATGCATCTAATGGAACTCACAATTTTAGCCAACAGTAAGATAAAAAAATAATTAGAGACAGAAAAGTTAACATATTTATGCAATTACCTTTGGTAGTTTGGTAATGGGATCTGGAACTAAACTATGATTCCCTAAGCACTCCCCCAGAATGTGCTCCCCATCCCTTAAAAAGGTAATATTTCTTATCACATTATTTTTAAAGGATAGAGACTTGAAATGTAAATAAAGAATTTGATTTAAGCTCTTACCTGATTTTACAAGTATTCATCCAAGCATAAAGTGGCAAAGTGGAGGCCCTCAGTTCCTGTTTCCTAACTGTTTCTGGTAGAATGTGGTAAATCGAAAGGGCATCATGTTTGATGCGACATCTTGCCAATGCTGCAGCCAATTTTGTCTTAAAACTAGAGACAGAAAATCCATTCTTGATCTATTGCATTTGAGACATGACTATCAATTTTCTACTAGAAACATTAACAAATTACATTTAGAACTTTTAACACATTCTTCTATAATTCCATTTCAAATTTTTGAAATCTAAAATAAAAATTTGTCTTTTGAAAATAGAAATCCAATAATCCTGATTCCTTTTATTCTGTTTTTGCTGACCCTGTATAGTTGTGCATCTCCTCAAATATTTATATTGATTGCTGGTTGAAAGATAAATTTTATTTAGTGAAAAGGGTATAGGATTTAGAGTCATACAGACCTGAAGTTAAATCCAGGTTCTATCACTTACTAGCTGTGTGACCGCAGCAATGTCACTTATTCTCCCTTCTCAGCCTCAATTTTCTCATCCATAAAAAATGGTCAACTTACCTTACTATTAATGTAGTCATTATCAATCATGTGTGCAAAATACCTAGCACAGTGCCTGGCATATAGCAGGCATTCATTATAGGTTAGGTATTATTATCATAGATAGCAACAGTATAGTCTTGATAAGATTAAAGAACTTTCATGAGTCTGTATCAAGTCCTTCCCAGTTCTGAATATCCCATGCTTCAAAGTTCCAAATAACAGAAAAGAAAACCAAGAACTGGTTAGCATCATCATGAAGGCCAAATGATTTTTCCTAATCTCACAGCCCAAATTTTTAATACATGAGAATACAGGACCTATAGTCCTGACCTATAGTCATAGCATTTTCATAATAGAAATCTAACTGAAATAAACTGAAAGTATAACCTTGAGTGAGAAATGGGAAGAGATGCCACAAGAGTCAAGCACAACCTGAGCTACAGCTGGTGTGTGGTACAGAAAGGGGAGGAGAGAATATTCTCAGGGAACTAGTGTGTGGCCCACCTAAATTGTTTCAAAGGATAATGGGAGACAGGACAAAGATAGTGAATGAGCAACTATTTTTTTTAGCACCAACTGTTAATACTACTTTCTTTTCCTTTTGCCTGTAGTTTCCCTAGTTTAAATTTCTTACCTGCTCAACAGAATAAGAACATCTCACACCAAAAATTGTTTATGTGTGAATATGTGTGCATGTGTATGAGAGAGAATCTATCAGCACACGGCAAGGAGAGGGAAGGGTTTTCAAAAGTTAAGCCTTTTAGGACTATAATAAAATTAGATTTGTCTAGTGCTATGTATAAATTTCACTGAATTACAGCACAGGACACTAAAAAAATGGCATAGTATATTAATGCACATCAAAAAATAAAGTAATATAAAGAGGGTGAGTTAGTGTTCTACATTATATATTGTGAGATACTTGAGTATAGACTACTTTTGACTGAACAGTACTTCTGAATATGTACTTAAATCCAATTTATCCTAATAAGTGCTACTTACTGAATTATTCAATCATTAAATATAAAGACTAGAAATATGACAGCTAGAAAAAATATGTGTTTTGTATATGGGGCAGTGTAGGGAGAAATAATTCTCCAAATTTCCAGATAGTAAACATTTTGGATTGTGAATTTTAACATAATTTAATCCCATAAAAATAAAGTATAGATTCAGTTATAAAGATTCTTATATAGACTTCTATAAATGAAGTGTCCGTGGTGACCAAAAACCTTCTTCCACAGCTGTGAATAAGGAGGACTGCAGCGATGGAAGCAGGAGCAAAGCAACCCTTCCCGATACCGTCGATCCACAAGTCCATCCCCTGCTACAATCTGAATGTTATCACAGAGTTGTCCGATTATCTCCTTTACATTAATGCCTGTTATATAGTCAGAGCTACCTTTATAAATGTTAAATTATAATTACATAATTCATAAGCTTAAATCTTAGATGAAATCCATTAGCCATAGGACAGAATCTAAACTCTTTATCATGATATTCTAGAATATTAATAGTCTAACCTGAGCCAACTCGTCCTGCCTCAATTCCCACCACTCCCATACATAAATCTACCTCCAGTCACACGCTGGACTATTTGGTACTCCTATAACATGCCTACGTCATGTCTCCTCTTTCTCTCTCTTCCACCATATTCTTACATTCTTTCTCTCTCTTTTTAAAATAATTGCTTTGTCTCCCCTTCCCAGGGGAGACAAAGACTCTAAACTTTGTGATGTCAGGAACAGTTTCTTCTTTGCTTTGCCTCTTTGTTTCTGGAACCTAAAACAGTGCCTAGAATAAAGTAAGAATGCAAATACTTGTTCATTGACTTAATTGATATTTCTCTACCCTTAAATGGACTTCTATTTCCTGCACGCCATGTCTGGTTCTAAGCTGAGCATTTCATATGCATTAGTTTAATTAGTTGTCCCAATCACCCTTTCAGGTAGGAGTTATTATCCTCATGGTAGACTTCTACTGATATTTAGGATAAAAAGAAAACAAATTTAAAACATGTTAGTTTGTTCTTAACTAAGTAGACTTTTTTTCTCTATTTGGCGAAATAGTGAACTGTTGTCTACTATTGGGATTTTCTCACTTGATACATGTTAGGTTTTTTTACAGAGCTGTAAATAAAGGTAAGTAAACAAACAATAGCTATTTCAAAAAAAGTTTGATTTATGTGCTATAAATTACGAGGAATTTTTAATGATATACCACATGCTTATACATTGGATCTTGCAATTCAAGCTTTAGAAAAGTAACTTGATTTTAAACAAAATATTTAACCTCTTCAAGACTGTTTATAAAGGAACTAAAGAAATTTTTGAACTTTTA